GATCTGCCAATTTTAGCTGATTGGATGGATTTTGTGACAAGGTAAAAATCATGTGATCTATAAGATAACTTTTTAGTGTATTACACTATATTACCTCTACAATGTGCAGAGACATCAAAACAGACTATATGAGAATCACCTATATTTATTTTAAGTAGAGCATCCTGATTGCTTGTAACCATATACCTAGCATAATCATTTATTCGTATAGTTTCAAGACCCTTAAACTCTATAGCTACCATTTGTTCTGTTATAAGTGATTTGAGATGCCCATTAAATCTATGCTATTCTCCACTAGACATCCTAGTCTCATTTATAACAATAAGCTTTCGAGCTTGAATGGCATTATTAAAACGTCCAAGAATTTTTTCCAAATCTAATGTTGCAAAATGGAGGTATAACCCCAAAACTTTATCACCAATAAAATCAGTGATGATATTTTTTCTGCACTGTTGTAATGTAGATTTTAGTACTAAAATAGATTGGGATTTCTTCTCTGGCTTCTACACTAAATATACCTACCAGTTCCAAATATATTCGTCAAGTCTTTAATCCTCACTACAGATTATGTTCTTTATATGCTAGAGAATCAGGTCCATAATTTCTTTGTTAATTCCCATTGCTGGCTTAGCCAAAAATCCCAGGAAAAGGTTAAAGAACTTTATATTATAAGCTGGACTATTTAGCAGATATGGTAGAAAATTAATATTGCAGTAGAGGATTAGACCTTTAGTAATTGCCTGATCTATTAAATTAATTAACTTCATTGCCTCTACTCCTAGCTCAACTAAGTTAACTTCATATTTAGAAAGATCTAGTTTTGGCACTATATTGAAATAAAGTCCACCATTCATATCCTCTGTTTTAAGCACCCATAATCTTGATATCATTTGAATACAAGCAACAGTTGCCTAAATTGCATCATAAATCTCATTACAAGAAAATTTTCACTCAGATACATACATATTAATTAGATTATCTCATACAAAATAATTATTGGGATTAAAGCAGTTTCACTAATAGTAAATTTTTTCAAAGACTTTCTTGTTCTAGGTTGCCTATCTTAATTTACATGGTAACATTTAAAGCTATATGATTTTTTATTTCGAATAATATATACATTATCACTATCATGTTCTCAATCACATATTAGACAGTATGATGGAGAGATATGTGATAATGGAAATTTGTCAGAAAAGTTTTCAGATGGGTATGAGAGACTATACTTTTCAATGCTAGCTTCTTGAAGTAGTATCTCAATTAGTTCGAATTCAGCATTGGTGGTGACATTATTTATACTAGAGCATCTTTCCAGCTCTGGCTCCAGAATAATTAAGAGAGGACTTTCTGCAATTTCTGATTCATCATTGGAAGGATGAATCATGAAGTCAAAAATGATTCCATCTTTGGGATGCATTGCTTTTTTCACACGAAACTGCTCCTTTGTTTTTTCATCATACTTAGGCGAACCAAGTATTCGTAAGAAAAATGAACGTTTATTCACAATATTATTTATAATACTATTTCTCTGAAAAGATGCTGGAAGTTTTTTATAGACAAGTTTAGTGAGTACTACAACCTGAGCAATATTCTCAAGCCTTATACCAGTAGAAGAAATGTGGAGGGATATTTTTTTCACATCAGTACTACTGGCAACAGTAATACTATTTTTTTTCCTTTTGGAAAAATTTCAAGATAAATATCTCTAAAAGCACAATTGAGTATATCTAGTATCTCTTTACGTATAAGCTTAGGTTCAATGCCATCATGCATCTCTCGTGACAAATCAAAATCTATAATAGGCCAGAGTGACTCATCTCCATCAATAAATTCGTGTAAGAAATGGTCTTCACAATCTGAGAGTATGGCTTCTATTTCATCCGTATTGTCTGCACTAAGGAAATGTCTTGGTTTAACACTATCATCACAAATTTTATATAAGCATTCACTGATATCTTCAGCTTTAAAACCTTGTTTATACAAGGCGAAGGCGTTAAAGAGGAACTTTGAAAGCTCAGATTGGATCATAGTAAAAATTTTCAGATATGTTATCTAGTATACTGTTTCAGTATAATATTTAAGGTTGCTTGTCTAAACTCATTTTGGATTTGGAAAAATGATAAAACCTTTAGTTTCGCTAAATTTTTACTAAGTGTTTGATATAGTTTCACTATTTTTATAAGCTTTAATATAGTTTTACCTTTTTTCAAATTTTGCAGATTTTTTAATAAGGTTTTAATATAATTTAACCAAGTTTTACTTTTACCATTTAGACGTTTGTCTAACCTCTTGATTTCGTCCAGCAACCTTAATAATATCTCAACAAAAAAGTTTAAAATAAAAATAAATAATTATAAATATCAAAGTGTTATTTATCTAAGAATAATATCAATAGGCAGTAAATATATTTGCCAATATCATTCTAATGAAGGGGAGGTTTGTGAGCGGGAAAGTAGAAAATCAGAAGGTATTATATTCACTGAAAAAGATGCTAGCAACTTCTATGTAAACAAGATGGATGTGAAAGACCGACGGCTTCTGAATATAGATTTTGTGATTGGCATGTAAAAAAGTATCACTCAAACGCATATTATCATCGAAAAAGTTGGATAAAATGTTTCAGAACTAAAGATAGTAGCCTTTATGAATATGTTGCAATATACCACTATTATAACATATGTTGCAACATAGTTGCAATATTTGAAAAATTTATTAATTTGTTGCAACATGTATTAATTTGTTGATTGGTTGCAACATTTATTTGATTGGGAAAATATTTTTTCATCAAATGATTTAAGCATCGTTCGATTGAAACGATTCGTTTATCGTTCGATGGAATAATATTTTGATCATTCCATCAAACGATGCTTAAATCGTTCGATGGAACGATATTTTGGACGTTCCAATCGAACGATGCTTAAATTGTTTGATAGAACAATCAAAATATCATTTGATGGAATGATCAAAATATCGTTCAATCAAACGATTTAAGCATCATTTGATAGAACAATGTAAAATATTGTTCCAATCAAACAATTTAAGCATCGTTTGATAGAACGATTCAAAATATCGTTTAATCAAACGATTTAAGCATCGTTTGATGGAACAATCCAAAATATCATTCCAATTGAATGATTTAAGCATCATTTGATAGAACGATCCAAAATATCCTTCCAATTGAACGATTTAAGCATCGTTTGATGGAATGATCCAAAATATCGTTCAATTGAACGATTTAAGCATCGTTTGATGAAACGATCCAAAATATCATTCAATTGAACAATTTAAGCATCGTTTGATAGAACGATCATAAATATCTTTCCATCGAATGATAAATAAATCGTTTGATTAGAACGATTTCATCAATTAAATCATAATTAAATCATAAACTTTAATCACAAATCAAATCAAATGTATTCTAACAAATTTCATCATAGTTGATCATAGAATTA